CTTGTCTAGCTGTGCTTCCTGGGCATGTAACTGTAATAATTACTAATAGATATTGGTCGACTCAGTGACTGAGTGAAATAATGAATGGGAGTAATGGCTCCTGAAAGGTTTGCCAGTGGCAGCTGGGGCTCTCTGCAAAGCCCAGGAATGGTGGACCTCTCTCTGACAAATGAACTGACACAACCTATGAGTACACCACTGCTCTCTTGGCCTGGCTATGCCTGTTTTGCCCACTTCACTCATTCTCCTCAGGCCAACTTGAGACTGGGTCTGGTGCAGAGACCATCAGTTTCTATCTGTTCTTTTGCATCAGAAGAGGCTAGGAAGTATGAATTGTGTTCAGAAGGAATGAGTAAATGGAAGGGAACTAAATGCCTTCCAGGTGGAGATGGGTTGGGTGTCCTAGGAAAGGTGTTACAGGAATTAGCATTAGTATTGGATTTATGCGGGTCTTGACCATCTTCACATTCAGCTTCATTCTCTCTCATCCCTTCTGCTTGTTCCCTGAGAAAACTAGCATGCTGTCCCCAAAGAACTGCCTTGACTGAATTCTGGCCGAGGCAATGCTGCCGCCTGGCACTAATGAACATGGTGCACTCAACCGCCCAAGCAGTTGGGCTCTGCAGGCTGGGACCATATTTTGAGGTGACTGTTTCCTGTTCTGTGCTGTGTCTTCTTGAGGAGGGCCACAGGGACAAGTTTTTCTATGGTCTCAGAACCAGGAATAATTGTGTCCTCCTGAGCAAATGGCATGTTCTTTGTTTTAGGGACACTCTGATCTATGTAATGAATCACATTTCCCTCTTCATATAGCCTGTCTGAAAGCTCAGATTCAAATTTATAGACTACTCCTGGCAAATAGATAAGACTTCCTTGCAATAATTTTGTCTAATTTCACTGCATTTTCCCTTAGACTATTTTATTCACCAATTTTAAATTTAGTTTTATTGTATCAGATGCGTTTTTGTTGTTGTTGTTGTTAAATAAACCAATTAAATCCTTTTGGGAAAAAAGAAATAAAAAATAACGACCAGTATATTCATGCAACACCTTTACTTTAGTTTTGTTGACTTCCCAAGCCTTAATTTTACACCTTTTCTTCTCTAATCTCAATATCAATCCGTACTTCTTAGCAGCATAATCCCTTCTGGATTTGTTTTTTTGTTTTGTTTTGTTTTTTTTTAATAGGAATTTGACCATTATATTAAAAGTAAGGTGTTAATAGCGATCCCTACAGTTGCTACTTTCTAGCTATGTGAATTTAACTAGATTACTAGATTACTTAATCTTTTTCATTTATATAAGAAGAGTAATACTATTTATTTTTTGTGAAGGTTGTGAGGATTATACAAAATACTGTATGTAACATACATAGTACCTAATTTGACACATAGTAGGTCTTTTGTTTAAAAGTCTAAGTGGAGGGCGCCTGGGTGGCTCAGTTGGTTTAGCGACTGCCTTCGGCTCAGGTCATGATCCTGGAGTCCCGGGATCGAGTCCCGCATCGGGCTCCCTGCTCGGCAGGGAGTCTGCTTCTCCCTCTGACCCTCCTCCCTCTCATGCTCTCTGTCTCTCATTCTCTCTCTCTCAAATAAATAAATAAAATCTTTAAAAAAAAAAAAAAAGTCTAAGTGGAAAATGCACTGGACTTGCAGTGAAATCTCTCTCTCTCTCTCTCTTTTTTTTTTTCCCACTTATTAGCTTATGACCTTGGGCAAATCATTTTACTTTTTTGGACCACATTTTTCTCACATATAATTTTATGGCATGGCAGAGAGAGCCCTTAGGATTCTAGCTGTGCTATTCTTGGATTCTTAGGCTTGTCCTGAGTAACATGTGAGAGTGTGTCCTCACTCTGTTCGCACTAGGAATGGTATGAATATCTTTACCTGGGCATCGAGAGGTCTTGGGGAGAAGGGGATCCAGATCTGAAGCAGGGAAATGAAAAGGCCCGTTGTTCTGGTCATTAATGTTCTTCACTGCTGTTGGTTATGGTATTTGCAAAGGTAGTAGCATCTTCTGGAATACCTCAAATGTGATTATAGTGATTATAGTCCTGAATTCAAGTGGATTTCAAAAGACGTGTCATTGTGGATGCTACTCTCTGTAGTGAATGGTTTATAACCGGGTGCTTGGCGAATACTTGGAGAGGTAGCAGAGGAACTAAGGGAGATGCTGCTTCTGATCAATGACCATATTCGCCAATGACTACATTTGGTTCATCACGGAGTCAATCATAGCAAGTGTCTGTGTCCAAGATATAGTTTCTATTCAGGAGATATTGGGCAATAGGAAGACCCCAAAGCAAGAGGAAACTCATTTATCAAGAAGATAAAGAAGAGTTTGTGATAGATGTAGAAGAATAATCTACACTGAAATGAAGCTACACTCATAGCCATTCATCAAGATGCAGGGTAGTTTTGTGGTTTAAAGGCACAGCATTTTTCAGTGTGTGGTTTCGGCCAAGTTATTGAATCTCTCAAAGCCTCAGTTTCCTCATATGTTAAAGGAATAGTGATACTTACCTCATAGGGTTGTTCAAAGGAGATAATGTAAGTGCTGAGATATGTTAGTTATAGGTAACTAGTATTATCAAAAACTATTGGTATTATTATAAACTGCAAATTCACACTGGACTTCAAGGTTTTGCTATCCCTAATCTAATAAACTGTGTGGACTATAAGAATAAATGTTAAAAACAAAGCATTAGAGGGGCACTTGGATGGCTCTTTCAATTGAGCGTCCAACTCTTGGTTTTGGCTGAGGTCATGATTGCGTGGGTTGTGGGATCAAGTCCTGCATGGGGCTCCATGCTCAGTGGGGAGTTGCTTGAGGATTCTCTCCCTCTGCCCCTCTCCCCACTCTCTCTCTCTCTTTCTGGCTTTCTAAAATAAATAAATAAATAAATCTTTAAAAAAACATTAGATGATCAAATGATTGGAGTAGAGGGCATATGCAGAGAAAAAAGTTCTAATAAATTTTTGAATCAGTGCATCATGTCCATTAGTTTTCATCCTATCATTTTATCCCTGGGATCTTACTTTCAAAAGGTAGCCATCTACTTGTACTTTTGATTGATTTCATTCTTTGTATGTGAGGTGGGATTATAAATTAAAGACACTAGTTTCTATAAACTTTCCTCATTACTCCATAGTCCCATTTTGCCTACTTCTTGCAAAGTTTCTGTCTCCTGCCTTTCTGTGGGATAAATTTAAATTTGCTTACCTTGTTCAAAGAGAAAGCATTATGACACTTAATCCTGAAAAAAAATCTTTATAACATAACTTTTAAAAAATGGTAAAAAAAAAAAAAAAGTAACCAGAATAAAATGTTAAACAAAACAAAGCAAAACAAAACAAAACAACAAAAACCCTGAAGAAAGTGTTAAGATACGGTGGAATGATTGTTACAAAAACAGAGAAACCACTGAAAACTAGTCTGGTTTGGGTTCAAGTATTTTTGTCTCAATGAGCTTCAACTTTTGCTTGATCCACTGAAATTCACTGAATTCAGGGAAATGTTGAGATTTGAAATGGTAAAATGTGTGGTAGTTACAGCCTCAGAACACAGCACCTGGGAGTGGTGGTTTTCTTGTGTTTCACTGTTTGAATCTTTCAGGAGAGAAGTGAAATTCTATAATCCAAATTTCATTGATTTATTTAGTTTTGACCTGCATTCTCATGTCAATATCTCCTATGTCAAGTCATATGTTAGTCCATTTGGATTTGAAAACTGTACAGATAATTTTGTAGGCAGTATTTTCATAGAAAAGAAATCAGGACTAAAATCCAAGATATTGGCTGCCAAAATACTTAAAAATCAGGATATCCTTAATTCAGTTTTCAAAAGATGTTCCATAATTACTAATTTATTCTTGAATTAGATGCACTAGTGTCTTCAAGCAGTTTTACTATTTTTTTATTTAAACTTTTTAAAATTGTGGTAAAAAAATAACTTGAAATTTGCCATCTTAACCATTTTGAGTTAATTGCAGTTCTGTAGTAGATTCACACTGCTGTGCAACAGTGCTCCAGAACTTTCTCATCTTGCTAAACTGAAACTCTATACTTGTTAAACAAGAACCCCCCCATTTTCTCATCCCCCAAACCCTGCTCAATTCAGTTTCTAAGTGGGGCATGTATATGTTTCGTGATTACGATTTGATAAGGCCAGAGGTCATTTAGGTGGATTGCAAATTGTAGGGTATGGTGTTTTTTTCACTTGAAAGTTGGACAAACGGTAGGAAATGAATGCTCATAGTTAGCACTTTTATTAGTTGAACTATAGGCTACTACTTAATGGCACATATGAAGTACTTGAAAAGCAAGCATCACTCATACTTTTGAGTAGTGAAGTTTACAATGAAAATCAAAACCAAAACAGGAATCAGACAGAAAATCCTGATAATGAAGGAAGGTAGCTTTTGAAATATAAAAATAATTGGAAAGGTGTGATATTATTTTCTTTTGAGATCTTTAGAAAGGCGAATATTCATTTCAGTATTGTGGTTTTGTTGAAGTACTATCAGCATGCCAAGGAACATGTTTACAGGTCCTGAGCTAGCCCCCTTCCTGGACTTTTCAAAGCTATGCCTAAGGAGTCTGGTGTGACCACAGTACAAGGCAAAATCTAGAAGGAGAAAATGCTGAGATGTGGGTAGTGATATCTCAGAGCCCTCATTTGCTTAACTGAAAGCATTTTTTAAATGTTCAGGGAAATGAACATGATGGAAGACGTTTCAGTGCCAGAGACAGTGAGGGCCCGACACCCTGGTGCAGTTCTCCTCCACTTATTTAAAAAATTAAGGTGATGAGATGTCATCTTATTGGCTACCTCCTGGCATCATCTTTATAGCCTCCATGCTCTAATACAATGGGCAAAATATGGCAAGATGATGATGATGATGATGATGATGATGATGGTGATGGTGTTGATATGATGGTGATTCTGAAAATAGTGGTCACCCAAACTCATGGATGCTCTATTCTTACCTCAGGTGTCTTGCCTGATAGGTCTCAGATTTTGGAAATGCAATGTTTGATGATACTACTTAAGCCTCTACAGGATTAAATTTACAGATCTTACCACCCAGAGGTGTTTAAGACTTGGTTCTGGTGTGTTTCAGGTACATTTTACATTAAACAGGTTTTTATGTGTCAATTTGGGAACTTAATTGTCATTTATAAACTTGTTGCCTTGCTGAAAATGTATTTTGAGTCCAAAACAAATAAATTAAAAATTTTAAGGAAATGACCCTTTTTAAGTAGGAAATTGTTTCAATTTGTTCTTGTAATTCTATATCAGCATTTAATAAAATATTTAATTTGGTTTTAGAATGAAAGCTATAGCTTAATTTTAATAATGGAGGGGAACAGTAGAGTGGCTAAAAAATGAACAGTATTAAGTATATTAACTTCTTGATACATATTGGTTGAATTAATTAAATACAGAGTCATTTATATTTAGTTATTTGACTTTGAAATACAGGGTAAGAGTTTTTAAACTTCAATTGAATTTTATAATGATACTTTTCTTACTCTTATATTAACGTGAATTTTCACATCTCTGAACTCACATGTTTTGCTTACTTTGGCCTTATTTTTATTTGGCCACTACTTATTCTGAGTAGTGGGGAGAGTGAACTTGAAGTTATAAATATGCTTCAAGCAATCTACAAATCCAAGCACAGATAATCAAGTATAGATGGTGTTAATACTTACTTAGGTAGTGATAAGCTACAGGAAAATGTGAGGGAGAGGAGTAAGAAGTTATAGTGAGTCACTTAACCAAATCTGGGTTGCCAATATGCTATTGAGAAGGTTTTTTTTTGTTGTTGTTGTTTTTTTTTTAATTTTAAGATTCTTCCTTCAGTGGAATATAAAGAGATAACCTCAGTATTAATGATAGCATATTGGCATATGAAGGGAAACTATATGTTACATCTCTTACCTCATTTCTTGCTTGAAGTGATAAACTGATTTGGCCTCCAGGCCTGAGTTTTTTCCTTTCTCAAAGTCCCATTTGATTCTCTCTCTTGGTTGGTGGGGATAGCCTTCCTGGTTGGAGGAAGACCGTTTTTAAGGCAAGAGAATATGGGTGGCTGCATGCCTCTACTAAGACCGATACTAGAATTAATATAGCGAACTCACTCTTTGACCCAAATGGTCATCTATACCTTGGGGACATTAAACAATGTGGAAAGGGTCCAGGGAACACTAGAAATGGCACCAGATTAGAACCCTAGAGACCTTGTGGATAGGTGTAAGAAAACTCTAATAATTTCATCAGTATTTACCATTAATCAATTAATATTTCTATGTGCCAGGTGCTATATGCTTCATCTTGTTCAATCCTCACAAAACCTTATAAGTAAATCTGATTAATCCCAATTCAAGATTTAAAAAAAAATAGAGAAAAACGTGTTAAAACATGTTTCTCAAGCTGATGCAGGCAGTAAAATAGACCTGGAGTTCACCCAAAGATCGTCAGACCCCAACACAAATATGTCAATTATTCTGCTAGTGCTTCCTACCATGGTGGTGGGGATTGGGTACAGACATGGTTACTGCTCTTTGGGTGATGATTTTACCTAGTTATTGCCAATTAGTTAAATTTAAAGTTCTTTACAATTCTCATTTGTTCTCCTTCCTTCTTTTTCACCTCTGGTCATTTTCTTCCCACTTCTGATATCACTCCCAAGTTGGTAGTAAAGGCCATGATTCCTGCCCATTTTCTCCTCTCACCACAAAACCTGGATCAATTAGGACAAAGGAGCCAAAAGTATGGTAGCCTGTCAGTTTCTCTTTCTGTGTGCTTTAGCCCAGCTCTCAGGATGAATTTAGATTAGGCATACTCAAGGATATCCATGAGTAATAACTATAAGCTTTGTCATAGATAACTGTATCGGGTGTGTTTAAATGTACAACTCTGTTTTTCTATTATTATGTGATATTTCATGTTGACTTGTCAAACTGAAAAATACCCATATTGATTTTGCAGAAAGCTTCACATGTGAGATAAATGCACTCAAAGACTCCTCACAAGTAGCTCTTTGGAGCTTCAGATGTGAAATGGATCATTCCTCAATCTGTAATAGACCCTTCTGTGAAGCTCTTCAATCAAACCTGAGAATTCAAGGTGAAATTGAGGGGAGGATGGGAAACCCCTATAGGGGGATTTGAGTGGACTAGCTGAGAAAGGAACCGGGGGTATTTGCTGCCTCTTTTTTCCATTTTTTTTTTCTTGCGCGTAGGAAGGCTGTCAATCACTGTGTGACCTTGCATGCCATGCACGCCGTATGCGTGTAATACCTGGGTACAAGGGGACAGCCGTGGAGGTGCTCATGGAGGTGCTGTCATATGTGCCTTTGATTTCTTTCCACTTGCCAGTTTTTTTCCTGACAATTTTCAGGTTATTTTTAAAGTGGGTATTTTATACAAATTTATTATACAGGGTTTCTCTTTCCACCAAGTCATTTATATTGTTATATTTGTTAGAGTGAAATTGTTATCGTTTGAGAAAAGCATAAATAATCTTCTAAAAAAGTTAGTGACGCATAATAACTACTTTAGTTAAAAAGAATTGTGATATTTTGTTAAGTAGTGATCCTGGTAAGGGCATCTTATTTAAGAATCATGTTTGTAGATCATGTAAATGACTTTTAATTAGTTTGTTCTCAGGAAAGCAGTAAGAGTTACCCCTAGGAAGGAAAACAGCATCTTCTGAAATTAGTTTTGGTGTCACATTTTTTATTTATTTGGGAGCACATTTTCATTTGGACATTTCTAGGTTAATTAAAAAAAAACTCAAAAATGTTCAATGGGCTATTTAGTTTGGGGGAGCAGTGAATCCTGACACCAAACTAAGTAATAAAAACTGTGCTTTGGAATTTATGCTCAAACACAGAATATGTTTGATAATAGTTTTTGATGCTCAAGCTGCTACGAAATGATTGCTATCCCCTCGCTGTGTTGTAGTTTTTCCTAAGCTATGGAGACGGTGTTGTTTGTAAAGCTCGCATATTAGTATAATCTTAAGAGCATATTAATTGCCCGGGAGGTTTATGTATTTGTTCTGCACATGTGATTAAAGATCACGGCAGCTTATACAGCATAATTTTAGAGATGGAGAAAATGACTATTGTAATACTTGCTACTCTCAGTTTCCTCTACAGCAATGCCCTTACACCTTTCTTTTTCAGGCATTTTGTAGCATCCTAAACAGAAGGATATTGAAGGGAGCTGATTCTGCTTTGATCCTTGTGCTTGTTGTCAAAGCGCTTGGGATTGAAGAGACTGTTGGCTACAATTGACTGTGACAATTAGGAGATGATCAGAGCCCTAGAGTGGAGCACTTAAAGGGTAATTTACATGTCAGTTTGTCGAATAAAAAAAAGATATTCAGCTAAGATTTTTTTTTTCCCCCCTCAGAGCCTTGTAAACTGCAATTTGTGCTCTGGTAAGAAAAACCTGGCAGAGGAGTTAGGATAGCCATTACCATTTGAAAAGAAGCAATCATAAGGCCGCTGCTGAGCCCTTTGTCCACTAAAAATGCTGATTTGCAGCAGTGAGTGAAAAAGTGGAACCATCACTAAATAAAACCTTGAGCTAGGTAACAACCCCCCGGCCCCCACCCTTGCTGGCTTTTTAATGTTGGTTAAAGGTGTTTTTAAAAAAACGTATCTTAAATCCGATACTTACTATCATTATAACATTGTTATTGGTCATGAATGTCCTTTCCTAAAAAAATAATATAAAGGATGCATTGAGGAAGTGGTAGGTGGAATACAGGCCAACAGCCAATTGAAAGGCTGATGCTGGCTATCAGTGGTATCTTAACTCTGGTCCCTTTTGTATGGTATCACAGTTTTCCGCCAGTCAATCCTTTACACTCTGTTTTCCCCCTAACATATCAGTGCGCTCCTAGGTTTTCCCATTTTTATTTATACTCTGATTTTAAAGTGGGAACTGTATTTCTAACCTTCACATATTTAGCCTATTTGGGTGCACTTGGCTAAAAATATAATGCACCTTCTGTCACGATTTGCTCTTCATATGTGGTCATCTCTATACTTTTCTGTTTGGTAATCCATATACAGAAGTAAAAAAAAAAATAGCTAGAAAGTGAAAAGAAGATAATTGCCAGTAAATATATGGTGATATATATTTAGCTGTCAAATAGAGTCAGAAAAATTAGTTATTTCAAGAATTTTTGAGTCTTACCCCCTCCCTGGAAATCATTAATAATAGTAATAATAATAATAATAAATAACATGTAGTTGCAAGCTTTTCATTTGGAAAATTATCTAAAAAAGAATGTATCAACACAGCCATCCTATCCAGACGTAATCCAATTTGGTGTGTATATTTAATTCAGAGATACATATTAACTTTCAATGGCAGATACATTTTATATTCCATTTTTTTGGATCCTTGGCTACAGTGACAGGCATTTGCAGAAAGGCAGCAGGTTAGAAATGTCTTTATCTTAAAACACCAGCTTTATTGATGAGAGCTAAGAACATGCATGACCTTCAAAAGCCAGATTTTCCAATAGCACATTGCTGTTACTCAAGTCCTTCACCTGGATACTGGTGTTGGGTTTTCAGGCCACCCTTCCATTAAAGACATTCACAATTCCAGATAAAAGGGCTTTATTTCTCTTCATTTACATCTAATACCTTAACAACAATAAAAATTTTTTTCAAGGGATGCTTTACGAAAGGACTTGCATTCTACTTATGGAGGTTTCTGAAAAACACAATAGTCAATGGGGAGCTGATTGAGAGAAGTCAGTAATTCAGATACTCTGACTGTTTTGCAGGAAGGCCCTGAACTTCTTTATAAAGTTTTTAACTCTAGTTTTCCTTGTGTGCACGCCCCCTGCCGCCCC